ATGTTCCTCTTCATGTGGGCAAGCACAATTTTTCATGAGCCCATTGTGTGAGAGCACAAAGTCCACGTCCTCTGGGGGAGCACGTATTGAGGGCTCCAGGACTTTTGCTTAAGATGTGGAAACACGAGCATGGCTAAAAGCAGGCATAATCCTAGATTGGCTAGCCCTAGAGAGGTATGTGGATGACCAGTGGGGAGAAAGCCTGACTTACCAACTCATCCAGCGCCCTAAATGTTTGGTCAGTGGAGCTGCATATGAAGGAGCTGAAGCGTGGCCGAGAGGAGAGACGTTTACAGCACTGAGGTGTTATTTCCAGCTTTATTAGATATAACTTATTGGCACCAATCATCTTGGCTCTGACACATCATTAGGAGTTTTTGCATCCACTGACACACACACACACGCACGCGCACATGCACACATCACAACATCCAACCAAGAAGCGTTATATTAATTGCCGCTGATATTATTGCCCGTTTCTAGAGACACCGAATGCTTTTTGTGTGCGATGGCACGCATTGCCTTCGCATCGCCACAAAGGACAAAAAAAAATAAGGCCCTTTGGATAAAAATAACGAAGCAAATCTGTTCATTCAAGATGGGGATTTACAGGGGGTGAAACTTGCCCCTGCATAAAGGGTGAGCCAGTGTTTCTGGGCAATGTCTGTCCAGCTGAAGCACGCTATATTCCCAAAATTTAAACAGTGGTGCATAGGTTTTATGTACTGCAGGCCATGGGCTTGCCGTGAGGTTTCCCCATGGGGTAGAGCAGATAGCATCGCATTGCTGATGCAGATTGATGCTGGAACTGGGGAAAGCCAAGGCACAGAGACCACGCGAGCTGGTTGAGCCAACATCAGGTGCCACAACTCCTGATCCCCACTCCCCTCCGCTAATGACTTAATTAGCTGAAAGCACTGGCCCATGGGTTCGACCTTCTGGCGGTCTTTGCTCACACCCACCTCCTGCCTCCCTAAGCATGGCCGTGAGGGAGAACAGCCCCGTCAGGATCAGAGTCTGTTCCTAATGACTTCAGTCACTGCAGCAACCGGGCCTGGCGCGGTCATGAATGGGTTAATTAAACAACTTTTAACCCAGGAATGACCAGAAAATTGAAGCACAGGATGGATGAAGTAACTTGACCATGGACACACCATGACTGAACCCAAGATCCCTACGGTCCCAGTCAAGATCCTTCCTCCCTTCTAGCTATTGACCAAAGACAGTATGCTAAATGGAGACTGTTGAATGATGGAGAAGCTCAGGAAAGAGAAGGAACCAGCTTGAAATGAAGCCTGGTTTCTAAAGTTTCAAAAAGCGAGGGCCTCAAGACAGGCCCGTAAGATCATATTTAGCTGCCAATATAAGTTCCTGGTTTTCAGAGGTAACGAGGATCTGCCAAACTTCCTTTCAGGAAGGATGGCGGAGGGGTTTTCAGTCATGTACAGCTTCATTATAGGAACAACAATACTTCACCTCAAGGCACTGCTTAATATTCACTTGTTCCCAGTTAATTTATTTGGTGCTTCACTACTTCACTCAATGTGACCAGTACTGGGCCCGGGGCAAACATTATTTTATAGAGGAACACAGAACGACAGATAGTCATTAGGCCTCGTAATAGGACTAGCTTCCTTACAGAGACAGTGTATTAAGGAAAACGGTTTGCTATTGTTCTTGTTCTTGGGAAATGGGGCTTATTCGGTTTTTATTATTATTATAACTAAATAAATATTGCATAGAAAAATCTTCTGCAGACATTCGCTCAAATAACTGGGATCTTTCAGTGCCATGAGCATCCATGTCATTAGGTTTAATCAGTAGAAATGTCTCAAAAAGCAAATTTCAAAGGCACATTCATGAAGATTTGCCAAAAGAAAGGCATGGGAATGATGTCATGTGCCTTTTCTGGCCAAACACAATTAATTGAACCAAACTAAAAGAAAAAAATAAAAGAAGCAACTATTTGTGATGAATGTATGGGATGAAACAATATTGTGCTGAATAAAATTGAAGAAATGCAGGAAAAAGAGGCTACCTGTGGCTAAATTAGCCACTTGACTAGTTTTCTCAGGTCTGTAATTTATTTAAGTGCTGTGCAGAAGGATGGCGTAGGTATCATTTAAGCTTCATTGGCGCGTCTACACATGCATTAATGTGCTTTAGTTAATGTGCATTAAATCTAGTACCTTCATTGTGAGGGCATTTTTACATGGGCTCTGGGAGTTGGAGGGAGGCCACTTTAATTAGAGCAGCTTGAGAGTCTTAATTAAAGCACCTGGAGTGCCTCATGTATCGGTGTCTCCACGCTTCAAGATGGTGGCAGGGGCACTTTATCTAAAGCCTGTTGAACGAGCTTTAGTTAAAGTGCCTCCGTTGTCATTTTGACGCATGGGGACGCCGATACACAAGATGCAGAGGCTGGCTGGAGTGCACTAATTAGCATGCTTCAGCAGACTTAATTAATCAAGTCTGCTCCAATGCACTGTAATTACAGTGCATCAGAGCAGCCTCCATGCTCGTGTACATGCACCCTTAGTGGTGCTTTAATGCACATTAAAATAGGCTAATGCACATTAAAGTGCTCATGTAGATGTGCCCATCTATCCCTATTTTGAGGTGTTACTTGGGACTTAACAGCCTAGGCTTGGTGCTAGCATCCTGCATATGCTGAATGATCCTAGTGATGTGTAGCAAAGAACAAGAAAAAGATGTAGTTCTTGTTTTGAAAAAAACCCCAAAAACCTAGAGAAGAGGGTATCAAAGAGGGAGAATGACCTAACCACTCATTTATTTAATATTCATTTGGTTTAAAGACCAGTTACTGGGCTAAAGGTAAAGACCGTAATGCTGTCAGTTGTATGGCACTACGATATGTAAATAGGACTGCCTCCTATGCTCTCGTTTTATAGTTTTAACACATAATAAAGGTGCAGTTGCATAGGGAGGCAGAGACTCTCCTGGACACCTGGTCTAATCCTCTGTAGCATGCTGCTCACCATGTTCAGACAACACACACGCACATACCCAGACATCACACTCCCGTCACGCTCTCGTGTTAAGGAAAGTTAATTAAACAACGTGCTTTCTACCCCCTGTACCGATCAATATTAGAGCAATAACCTTAGCAAACAGAGAAAACCATCCTATATGCACGCATCTTCCACAGCTTTCTAGAGAGCAGACTGGAGCTAGTTAACATCTTGTCTAGAAAAAATGAAGGAGCTGTTTGTATCAGAGGGAACCTCATCCTGCTTTCATTTAAAATATAGCAAAGCAGAAAATTTGCTACCAGTGGTTTTGATTCTGCTCCACCTGAAACTGGCCAAACATCCATTGGTTTGGTTTTAATTCGCGTGCATTATTGCACTGGGTTAAACTACTGCCTCTGCTAAATGCATTTAAACTCTTATTCTGTGCACAGAACGCCTACCCTAACCCTCCAGAATAAGTTACATACAAATACAGATCGGTTTATTTAAATATTGTACAAAGAATTAGTTTAGCTCCTGACGCAGAAGCTCCAATACTGAGAGTCTAAGGCACAAGAGGATGCTTGGAGTAGAAAAAAATGGATTTTAATCCTTAACTATGTAAAATAAAATTAGGCCTAGGCTTTATAGGAAAATAAGCAACCGGAAGGACCCTTTCATAAAGAATCTTTCCTCAAATCATGGTCACAGATGCAAATAGACCTCCTTGGGAGAGTAGGAATCACCGGGTCTGTCCCTTGGTTTTCAATTCGATTAAGACTTGAACACCAAAAGATGAGCTGAAGTCAATTAGCAAGCAAAGGTTAAGCAAAACATTGGATGTCTGTAAGTTTACTTCATATCAGCCGACTTCATCTTGTTCTAACTATTGCTAACAGTGCCGTCAGCTTCTCTAGCACCCTCTGTCCCAGGATTTTAAAGCAGTTTTACAGGCAGTAATGCATTTACCCCTGGAACACCCCTGGGAGATAGGTAAGGGCCTAGAGAAAATCCTCAGTCCCAGGTAATGGCTTCAACCACTAGAGGACACTGTCCCCAATGTCAGAGGAAACATTTCCCACGGAGAGGAGAGGACAAAAGAAAAGCCGAAAGCCGCCTAGCTTTTGCGATAAGCAGGGGTCCCTGGGAAACAAAACCTCAGACTGATGCTGCTTCGGATCCAGACAGTGTTTTCTGGAGCAGGAAAAAAAAGTCACGTGCAACCAGCTCTGAGTGTCTGGGGTAGCCCAGAGGGAGCCACAGGCTCTGCCGATAAAACTAAACGTGGCTTTTGTGAGCAAAGGTGTCCAGTATCCAACTGCAAAATACTGAAACCTCCAAGAAGTGCGCCCGGGAGCAAGTCGGTCCCAGCCTGAGGGCTGATGATCACAGAGACTATTGCAAGCACAAGGGGATTCATCTGTTGTCTTAGCAAAGGTGACTCTGAATTCATCTCTCTGCAAGCTGTAATTTCTCCCAACAATATACCGGGCCATCCCCTCGGCCGGCAGTGGTAGAGTTACATTGCTTGACAACAGCCGAGCACCCGGCCCGTCACCTGTAAATCCAGAGACAGCGAGAAAGAGATGGCGCAGTTTTGCCTCAGTGGGTCCCGCAGTGAGAACAGCTTCAAAAAACAAAGTGCAGGGAACACTAGGAGTTGCTGATTTGGGGCAGAAAACCTGCAAGGTTGGCTGAGTTCCTCCTGGTTCATAAGGTGCCCTCCATGTTCACAAGCAAGGGATTGCAGGGACGAGAACGAGGGGCTAGAGCATGTGCTAGTGGACCCCTTGGTGCTTGGCAAGATATGCAGCCACGGGGTCTTCCAGGCACCCAGCACCAGCATGACTATCCCCTCTTCTCCATCCCTGGTCCCAACCAGCTCTGGCACAAAAGGGCAATAGCAGAGACCATGTTCCCTTCCTGTCCCACCTCTGGGCAATCAGGTCCAGGAGGGGGTGGTTCCCAGGGGTCCAAGGCAGGCGAGGCTGGGTGCAATCCTGCCCAGCAGCTCCGAGATGGCAGGAGTTGGCTGGTGTGGCAGGAAGGTTGGGATGCATGGCAGTGATGGGTTTGCAGATGCAAAGAACAGACTAGGAGGGCCTGTTTATGTGTCAGAGCCCAGGTAGAGAGTTTAGACACTTCCCAGTGCAATCTGGAGCCGCTCTGGCCACACTCAGGAGCGTGCAGGGGGGGGTGAAATGAGCTGAGGGGTGCAGCGAGAGAAAAGCCCATAGGAGGGGCAGTGCTTCCGTTCTCCCAGCCCCTCTCCAGCGTGAGCGGGGCTGGCTGCAATGGCTCAGTGTCTGTAAACCCATCCCCAGCGGCCGGTGCAGTCACTCGGACTGCTTGGGCACCCACGTGAACTTCCAGCCCCCGTCATCGTCACGGCGCACGAAGGCCTGGCCTTGCTGGAAGGTGTGCGTCTTCACGTTGCGGTGGGGGCTCACGGACGTGGTAAAGGCCACTTCGGTTTTGTTGCGCGACACATCCTGGGAGAAATAGGGCAATCCGTAGGCGGGGAAAGGCACGTCACCATGCCCGGAGGAGGATGCACAAGGGGCTGAGGAGAGAGGGGTGAGATAGGGTGTAACCTCCTTGCAGAGGCTGGCCGTGCTGGGGATGCGGGTCAAAGGCTCGCAGCCGTACAGAGCTGTGGGGTCCTCTGCACTGTCGTAATCCATGGCCTCCACGGGCTGCGGGCAGTACGGGTCCTCTCCCAGCTCGCCGGCCAGGGCGCTGTAGTTAGCTGATACCGACTCATCAATGGTGTCGATGTCTTTTAATCCAAGGGTCTGTAGCACCCAGCTGTCTACCGCAGGGCGGGGGGGCTCTTCGCAGGCAGTGAACTCGCTGAAGAGGTTTCTCCTGGCTTTTGCTAGCGGAGGAGACTCTGGAGGGGCAAAGCAATCGTTCTCCCTGACCTTCCTCTTGCCGCCTCTGAAGATGGCATGGTCCCTCTGGCCGCTGCCCGAGAGCAGTTTCTAGACAAGAGAATGGGAGGACAAGGCAGGTTACAAACTAATCAGGCTTCTTTCAAGACTTTATTATACCCAGAGCTCATTCTCCATGACAAGGCAGGTGCCGCTGTGATCGTCTGGGGGCATTGCTCCCTTTGGGAATAACTTGAGGCCTTGAGAGACCAGAGCACGGTAAGGCTGGAGCCGAGACTGTGTCTTCACGTGGGAGCTCAGAGCAAATCCTGCTGCAGCATCTGGACAGCAGGATGGGAAACACACCTAGGATGACCCTGGGTTGTATGGAACCAGATGGGGTAGCACAGATCGCCAGGCATCCTCAGGGGTCTGTCTCCCCTTATAGAGGGGAAAGGACAGAAGCCAACAG